AGACCTTGCACCACAAAGTTGGGAAGGATTTAGCCTTTACTCACTAAAATAAACTAATTCTGTGCAGTAGTGCCCTGGATAAAATGGAGGCATAACAGTTAGATAGAATACTTAAACTTTATATATATACACCCAGGATATATTTTTGGCTGCATTAGAGTAACACCTTTTAATGGTAATGACAATAATTAATATGAATATATTAAAGGTTCAGTATGTCTTCACTTCTAAATTAGATGATAAAAAGCAAAGCAACATAAAAAGAACACTTGTTTGCCTCAAATTAAGTAGCCAAATAGCATTCAAAATGGCCAGCCAGTAGGCGCCACTTAGGACAAATTATATCATGGACCAAGAGATATAAGGAATGAAGCAACAGCAACAGTCACATTCTTGTCATTGGGCCAGAAGACACTGTGTCCATTTCAGTGATGTGTTCATTCTCTAAAGGAGAGACAGACAGCTGGCTGCCATGTCCAATACTCAGTCAGCTTTGCCAGCTGGCACAACAGCATCAACTGGCATCAGCTAAGATATAAGAAGCTTACCTGTCACTGTCAGCCACAGGCAAGACCCAAACTGCTGAGAAGGGATTGGTGCCAGGTTATCTTTTACAAACATAGAACAAATGTAACAGGATTGTCTTTGCAAACTCCTATTTAATTGCTCTGTACTTTTTCATGGCCTGGAGTAGGAATATGTTCTCTTTCTACCTTTTGTACATATTTATAGTCCCTCATCACAAACGTCCCCCGAGTCAGCAATAATGAAAGGAAAATTAAATATTTCCTATTTTTAATATTGATTATATGCTGGGGAGTTGCAGAATTCTCTTGTTCCTCACTGGTTCCAAAGTATGATGACAACATTTCTAATGTAAATGTATAGCATTACAACAGGGATTTTAGCATACTTTAGCATTGCACATAAGCTATTCTGCTGTCTTCTTGGTGCCATTCTTTGATATCTAATGAATAAAATATTAGTCTTTAGCCAGAGATTTGGTTTGGCTGGAGCTATTTCAGGTAGTCTGAGTCTACTCTCGTCTCTGGTAATTGTGACCATGTGTATTTTTTCTATAGGGTTTTTAAAACAATTTGAACCTCTATTTACATTTAAATTATGTAGCATTAATTTTTTTTACTGAAATTACAAGGGGGGAAAACTAGCTTAGCAATGTGAGTTAATTTCATCATATCTGGAGAGCATATCAACAATTTTCTGAAGTACCCTAATGCACTGGTTTCAAATATCATATTTTCTGTATGAGGTATAGTCTGGAAAAGTTTTGCCTCAAACTAGGCATGTCTAATGGGGTTTATGACAACCTATGAATTTGCCCCTGAACAGGGTCAACTTGGAGGTCAGTAAATGCTATACAAATTGCATACTACTCGAGCCTATAATTATCCCTGTTAGAAGTTAATGTGCTGCCAAGTTCAGCAGACTCGTATACAGCTTCAGAAATGACCATGATAAACTAGGCACTCCCTAACATTTACCCCAGAACAGTCACATTTTACAGGAGGGGATGCATGCAAAGTATTCATATACAGTAATTTGTAGCCAAGTCATTTTGTCTGTTTGTGTGCTGGGGAAATTCAGAACATGAATTCTGGCTTGTTCCAAGAAAACATTTAAAATAAATTAACGTTGTATTCTTTTTTTAATAGCTAACATACAATATCATAAATATAGGCTGGGAAGAGTTTCAGGATATGTTTTATTTGCAGCGTTGGCATAAAATATGTTATGCGTAGCATAACAAGCTTTCATTAAATAGTGTAGTGAGCCTTTACTGCACAATCATAAATAACTTTTAATTTCCTTGTTGGAGGCACTATATATTCTTATTTGTTTGTGAAGTGTCAAGCACATGTTTGGTACTTGATAAATAATAATTAACTGTGTATTTAGTCAGACAAAATTGTTAGTAGCCCAGTGGTTCTCAACCTTTTTAGACTCAAGGCACTTCTTGATAGGCTCAAGGCACCCTTCGGAAAATGTGAGCTCTTAAGTTTTCACTCTATATTGACTACAGGAAATTAATAGAGCAATTAATCTGTTGCAAAGAACTCAAGAAGACCACAACAGGTCAGAATATTTTCAACCCTGTGGATTCATATTTGAAAACTCTGGGTTTATCTTATGAATCGTGATTGCACATCTAACAGTGCTAACATTGTGTGGCACCCCACAGCTCCCATGGGATATCAAAGCATCCCATGGTGCCATGGCACCTCCAATTTTATATTTTTGATTGGCTGAGTGACTATACTATTAAATGACCCAGAACAAAACCAGAAGACACTTCAGAGCATGGGAATAAACAGGTCTATTGTTATCTTTATTGCCAAGGCTACTAAAAAGTATTGTTGGAGGAACAAAACTCATTTGTTCTTTGAGTTTTGGGGAAATGTGACTGTTTTCATTTTACATTTGAATCCCTTTGGTACTTCTGGGTGAACTGGTAAGATTAAAATTGAACTTCTTACAGAATTTCTCAAAATGTACTTCTACACTGTGAACCTGTTACACATTTACTCTCACAAGTTTTATTGAAATACAGATTAAAGGAGATCAGGGTTTGATGATGCATATGTAAAATGGGTTTAAGAATACAGACCTCCTTTTTAACAGCCTTTGAGATATGCCAGTGAAAAGTGTTATGAAAGAGCTAAGCATTATTACTAGTAATAGTTAAGTGGGGAAGCAGGTAGCCAGGTAAGTCGAGAAAGCACAAGCAGGAGGTGGCAACAGGGGATGTCTTCTCATTCTTCCTGAGAAAGTAGGGCAATTGGCTGGTTATCTCGGGTGTCTGTACTTGAATGCACAGAGCCTGGGAAACAAGTATAAAACTGGAGGTAGAGGCTGTTGAAAGCCTCTGGGTTAGGGTCGGAGGGCAAAGCAACAAGGGTGACATCATGGTGGGTGACCCCCAGACCAAGAACATGAAGTAGATAAGGCTTTCTTCAAACAGCTAGTGGAAGTTTCCCAGTCACAGCCCCTGATTCTCACTGGGGACTTCAGTGACCCTGACATCTGCGGGGAGAATAATACAACACTGTGCAATCAATTCAGGAAGTTTTTGAAGAGTATTAGAGGCAACTTCCTACTACAAGTGTTCAAGTGGCCAACTAGGGACCATGCTCTTCTTGACCTGGGAACAAACAGGGAAGACTTAGTGGGGAATGTAGAAGTGGATGGCACCTTGAGCAGCAGTGACCATGAGATGGTTGAGTTCAGGATCCTGAGGAAAGGGAGAAAGGAAGGAAGGAGAGAAGCAAAGTATAGACCCTGGACTTCATAAAAGCAGACTTCAACTCACTGAGGAAACTGATGGGCAGGATCCCTGGGAGGGCATTCTGAGGGGGAAAGGAGTCCAGGAGAGCTGGTTGAACTTTAAGAAACCTTACTGAGGGTACAAGAATAAACCATCCTGATCCACAGGAAGATTACCTAGTATGGCAAAAGACCAGCTTGGCTTAGCAGGGAACTCTTCAATGAGATAAAACACAAAAAGCAGTTTACAAGAAGTGGAAACTTGGAGAATGACTAGGGAGGAGTATAAGAGAATTGCTCGGGCATGCAGGGATGAAATTAGGAAGGCCAAAGTGCAACTGGAGTTGCAGCTAGCAAGGTACATGAAGGATAATAAGAAGGGTTTCTACAAGTATGTCAGCAACAAGAGGAAGATGCTTGAATTTTGGGGAAGTTAATTTCTGGATTGAATTTTGTGACATGTTCCTCTCATTCCTCTCTGATGGAACAAATCCAAACCACAAAGAAGCCAAAATGTATGGGGAGGTTTGTTTGAGATCCAAGATTAGTCTCTCTCCTAACAGCTGAGCTAAACCTCCAAAATAGTGAAGATTTATCTTTCATTATTGTAGTTCTGAATTTATCTGCACATTGAATTTAATATATTCATGAATCTGTATTTTTTCTGCATTTTAATATGCTATAGTCAACTCGCCCAACTCCCATCCACCAAGAAAAGAGAAGTTGGGTTTAAATTTAACACTTCAGCACACATAATCTAACATTCAAAACATGAAGAAAGTCCTCCACTCCTTCTGGGATTACAGAGATTTAGAGGCAACATACTCAGTCATTACTGGAAAGAACTCTGAAGCAACCTCTAAGTTGTTTAAGAGTTGTGTTGAGAAGGAACAAGAGGAAGTTCTGTCCAGCTGTCCTGTTCATCTTAGCAAGATCATTTATTGAGAAATGAGTCCCATGAGTCTGTGAGATGGGGTTGCAGTGAAATAAAAGTTAGAAGATAATGTGAAGGCTTTCATACATACTCAGAAATCTTGCACCCCAGTGCCTTGCTCTTAATGGGTGTTGGTGGGAAGAAGGTATATTGGTGAACAAAGGTTCATTTTTTTTTCCCCCTTATTAGTAGGTATAATGTACCAAATAATGGATGATCTTCCCTTACTGGTATAAATTAATGTTTCCAACTGAATTGTATTACCACCTTTATGTTCAGTCCAAGATTTGCAGATTCTTTTGAAGTGAAATCTATGTTAAAGCTTAAATAATTTGAACTAGCATTTATCTTGTCACCTATATTCATAGGTGTAGAAGGCCAAGAGAAAATTATGGGATCATAGGAGATTAGGGGTGAAAGAGACCTCACAGGGTCATATAACCTAGCCCCCAGCTCAAGGGAAGACCATCCCTGCTTAGATAATCCCAGCCAAGTGTCTGTCCAACCTGCCCTTGAAGATGTCCAAGGATGGAGATTCCACAGTTTCTCTAGTAGCCTGTTCCAGTGTTCGACCACCCAGACAGTCAGAAAGTTTCTCCTAATCTCCATCCTAAATTTCCCCTGCTGAATGTAGTCAGAGCTTTATATCACATTTAATCAATAAAAATGGTTGAGCAACATTAAATTCAGCTCACAGATCAGCTTTTTAGCTCTTTGCCAATAACAAAAGTTCCTGTAGATTAGTCATTTGGATCCACAAAATCATTTCATTTCTTCATTCCAGATTATCAAATTGCTGGATGGAAAGAGATCCCAAACTGTAGGAATTTTGATATCCAGTTTGCATCTGGAAATGAAGGATATTCAACAAGGTGAGTGTTACACCAATCTCAGTATCCCTTTTATATGTATATATTTTTTCATACCTTTACTAATAAAGAATTCTAGAGAAAAATGAATGCTTTTCTATATGATCTGCATATAATAATATTTTTTCCAGCAAAATTCATGCAAATGAATAATTTCTTGTGGTTTTCTTATTTGACTTGGATCTAATTTAATCTGAAATTTAAACATAGCTCTTTGCACTATTAATTATTTGACTTTCCATTTTACATGTTGCATCCAATCCAGGGTTCTTTCAGAGCTGTTTTATATTGTCTCCTTTCTATGTTTCATTCCCTTTTAACCCCTCCCATTGAGGGGAGGTCAGGAGAATTTACAGATAAATATTTGGGATTTCAAATGAATGCTCTATATTTGTTAGATTTTAATTTTTGGCTTCAGTATCTACATATATGAAAGTGTATAAATATATTAAACATATCCCATACTGAAAATACCAAAACCATATGACAACCAGAAAGGTAAACACTGGGTGGTATATTTTTTAAACAGGAAACTACTCTTTCTGTAAGTTCTGTCATTGATAGCCAACTATATGTCTATAAATATGAATTTTTCAAGGTATATGGTTCGGTAGGAACTGTGTGCCTTATTAGCTAAACAAGACTAAAGAAAGAATAGTAAAATGCCTATATTAAAAACACGGGAAAAAGCATGTTCACTGAACAAGTCCTGAGAAGTGCTAAGCTGAAGTCAGTTTTTCTTGCCATTCTTTACCCTCCATGACATGCAAACACTAATTTGATATTCAAGGGTATTGCAGGGTGTTCAGCTGCTGCTGGCACTGATTATTTTTAATTTTGGAACAACAGTGAGATATTTTAGCATTTTTTTAAAAAAAACACGTGCATTATGTAACAGGGCCTTACAGATGACTAAGAAGAAACAGAAGGGACAAAACCTTGAGCCAGCCTGTAGTGTGTCAGAGATATACTGATGGGTGTTAGCTGTAGTTATGAATTTTGTGGATAGTTTGCTGGCAAGGGTAATAAAGGGCAGCAGTTGTAACATAAAAAGTCTGTGAAAATCTTAACTCAAGTGTCTTGAAAGACATTTTCATGATCTCCTATTTCATGCTGTGATAGGTCTTATAGATAAGCTATTTGTTCTTCAGAGCACTGATGAATTTTTTTATGTCTCTAAATCATATTGGTGCTATTAATAGTGATCTATGTGGAGACCCTACTGGTTAAAAAAACATCAACAACCTAGGAATCGCACAGACCCCCAAACTAAATGAAGATAACTTAGACTTATTATAATGCTGACAGTAATGGCTATGCTCAATGCTTATTCCTCTTCTCTGTGCTGCTATTCTCAGCCTGCTTCTCAGGCTTGGCGTTAACTACCTGATTTTATTCCATTCTTTCCACTGCAGCGGAGCCTTTCCTCTTGATAAAAGATTGACTTATTTGTAAGATTCCTAGTTTCAAACTGTTAAGTAGAAAAAGGCCATTTTATAAAGTAACTCATTCATGAAGCAGACAAGAAATAGAAATTCTGTTTCTAGTCTGCAAAAGAAAAATGTATTTTTCATAAAAATGGAATTTTCTGTCAAAACCTGAAATAAAACATTTTAATAATTTTTTACTCATTTTTTACTACATCTTGCAGGGTAGCAAAGTCAGCTGCGAGATAAGTTAGGAGTCTCTGGTGACCAGCTAGAGGGGCAACTCAAATTGGAACAGATGAACATGGAATAAAGCAAAATAAAATACCCAGTTTTATTGGAAGTAGTTATAAAAAAAATTGGGTTAAAAATGTAATCAAAATCAGTGTAGTTTTGTAAAATGTTTCACTTTTGACAAAATACAAAATTGTTTACTACAAAATACGTTTCGCTAAGATATTTTGACTAGCTAGTCTCATGAGTGCCCTGGTATGATATTATATTCCTGAGTTCAGATTCTTCAGAATGGTGACCATCTCATGGTAGTAAGCTGTCATCTATAATCCAAATATCATGGGGGTTTTGTTTTGTTTTGGGTGGGGGGTGAGGTTGCGGAAGTAATGATAATTATTTTAAAAGGTTTATAAAGTATAAACCATACATAAATGACCAAACAAACCAAACAGCGCCAAGCGAAGATTTATTTATAATACTCCATTTTTCCTGGATTCACCTAGCACTAGACCCTTTAAAAATAGGTGTAGTGATGCCTAAAGAAATTAACCTGCAATAATATCTGTGGTAACACTAATGCTACTACAGTATGAAGACTTGCCGCATCCATGTAGAAGCATACAAATTTATACAGAATATAAAAAAGAGCAGTTACAAGAATACTTAAATAGTTCATAAGGAGGTTGTGAGTTTTCTGCTTATAAGACCTCCACATCTCCACTCACTTTAAGTCAAGAAATGAGCATACGTCCTATTCTTCAGATAGTTCAGTAGTGGCAGCATATGTAACTGGCTGTCTGGCGTGCAGATGTTTCAGTTTTCATTTGATAACTAGCCAACAAACAGGCAGCAGCCACATTTGTAGGAGGGAATCTCCCACAGATGTTTCTGAGTAAGTGAAGTTCACACTCTGAGAATAAATAGCCTTCTTGCTCTCAAGGTACAAGCTAGACCATTGACAACCCAGAGATAACCACTAAGTAAACTGTTTAGCATAAAAATAATATTTCAGTGATGCAGGCTGATGGGGAGGGGGGCAGGGGGAGGCATAGAAATTAGCTTGCTATGTTATAGTCATTTTCTGTTAATTAAAAATTTGCCTCGTTTCCATTATGCTCTCCAAAACTCAAAATATGTGCTTTCTTCTGTTTGTTGAACTGCACAAAGACAATTGCAGAGATGCCATTTCCAGTGGACTGTTCAGACTCTTCATTTACATTTAAAACTCAAAGTCTTCTAGTAGTAGGTCCTGAAAATCAAAGAGTTTAGACATGTTATGAAACTTTTTTGTGATAACTTTTTAAAATCTTGCTAAAATTTGGGGGGAAGGCTCAGTGAGTTCTTCCTAAACCTGAAAATAAATTTGAATGTGGGGTGCTTTTGGGATGTGCCAATATGTTTGCTATTCTAAATTGGCAAACCAGGGGTAGGAAGCCTGTGGCTCAGAGCTGTCTGTGTGGTTTGGTTGTTAAAATATTACAGCTCACTTCATGACCAGGTGGATTCAGTTTTGTTGCTAATTGTATGTGCATGTGTGAGAGGCCATTCAGGAGCACTTCCCCAATATCTTATAATCCCACCTTCTGCTCAGTCCCAATAGTGTCCCAGAGTTTCCAATATCAGTATTCAGCAGTAACAGGGTGGAGCAAATAACAATTCTTTGCTGTGATTTAGCTATTCCCCAATCCCGTCCCTGCTACTTCTAATTCGCCACTTTGATCCTTGCTCCACAAATCACTGGCAAAAATAGATAGAAGTCCAGTTCCACAAAGAGACCTAAGTGCTTAAAATGAGATTTGAACAGTATTTAGACACAGGGATCCAGTTGTATAATCCTGCTCTTAAATCCATAGGTGTCTGCAATTTAGCCAGTCAAGTTAGAAACCTAAAGCTCTCCCACTGTGTGTGCCCAGAATCATCTCAATCTTGTCAATGCCAAGCGTGTTAGTGCTTGTTTCATGTCAAAACCTTACTAGGGATCGACTGACTTGGTATCCCCCTGCCTGTGCTTAAAGCATGCCTGCAGAATCAGACTCTTCACAGAACACTGATGGCTACTGCTTTGTTTGGCAAGAGGAAACAGAAGGTGGTCATGGTATCCCCTGCTTTGTACAGTAGAAACATGTTAGATCCCTAAGCCAGGATGAAAGAAACTTGGGTTAAGGTCATCCTCTGCCTCAAATAGTAAAAATCCTCATTTCCCACCTCCCAAGAAAATGTCCTAACTGCAGACTCCAAGACTCTAAGAATAGTCCAAGATTTATGCTCTGGCATCTCTGAATCAATGATGGTAGATTCCAGGGAGGGTAATGAACATGGGATAGATCATCCTAGATATACCCAGTTTAATGGTCTTCTTCTAAGCAGGGCTGTCCAGCTGGCAGCCTGCAGCCCATGGGTCAGATGGATCACTAACTTGAATGGCAGCAGGAGATGAAGTCTCTGGGGACACCCTCCCTCCTCTGACTGCCACTTCCAGTCTCCACCCCAGGAGACGGGGCAAGTGTGCTTGATAAAGAGCTGACAGTGACTCTGGGGCTGCCCAGGGAGGGGGGTTATGTCCACACACTGCAGTGGTGGGGGTTGTCCATGTAGGCACATGGTGCAGTGGCAGAGAGGTTCCCAGTGCAGTGGTGGGAGGGTACAGGTGTGCACACAAGCACACAGTGCAACAGAGGGGTGGGGGGAAAGTCCATGTGCATCACCAATTCTGTGGCCCATGCCTCAACTGGTGAGGTCTAAGTGGTAAGCAGCCTCCGTTAGTGTGGCCCTTCAGGACTTAGAAGTTGGATAGCTCTCCTCTAAAGCATGCACTCCTGCCACTGTCAGAGACACAATACGAGACTGGACTGTTGTTATTAAGCTGTTCCTAGGTGAAGACTGTCTTTACCGTTCCTATTGAATCTGTTCCATTTTGCAAGGATTCATAGGGCCAGTGAGAGAGTGAGCCATGTGTTTGTAGTCTAGTGGTGCACACTAGTGGTTGCTCCAGGGGTGCTAGCAAAAAGACCTGGGTTGCAATTGATAATCATATACAATGCTAGGATTTTATCCAATGTTTGCTTAACTTAAAATGCATTATATCTTTTGGCATTTTCCTTTTGAAAACTAGGGGTTTTTTAATTTTCAATAAATATGATACATGGAGCACCAATTACAATTATTAAATCAAAGTGTCAGGGACCAACATAATAATGGTACCAAGGCAGCTGTGACTTATTTATTGCACACTAGAAAATATACTCAGCTTCAATAACTAGCTAAATTAGCTGCTTATGGGTACACTTCTCAGATGATGGAGAAAATTAATTATCCATAGATAAGATGAACTTAGGTAAAATT